CGGGAGTCAGCATCCCACGGCTCGGAAGACCAGAGCCTGTTTAGGTTTGAGAATTACTGCCACACTGCTTTGCTGTGAGCTGACTGAACAAAGCCAAACAGAGTCACATCATGGCCAGTCTGACACTTCCCAAACTAAGCTTTCTCTTTCAGAGACTTTGTAGGCTTTATTTCACTCTTCCCAAGAAAGAAAGGGCCTGATCTGAAGCAGGTAAAAAGTGAGACATGCAATTTGAGGGCAAATAAGCATTATTATTTCACCTTCTTAGCTTGTAGTCTTGAAAGTCTCCTCTCCCTCACACTCATCAGCAGCCCCTCCTCTGACCTCCATCGCTAATGATGGCAATTAGCTCTTCCATTAACGGTATATATTGAAATATTATCCATTTTATTCCCCCAAAGGACACGCACAGACCTCAGATGAGAAAGTGCCCAACTCCAGGCAGAAACCCTCTTACTCGTGGGTGGTTCTGCACAGCATTTACTTTTGTGTCCAAAAATCAGTGACAAAGTAGCAGAATGAGCTCTGCTGGAGGTCTACAGGATCTGTGCTGCTGGGGGAAGACCTATTCTGTGCCGGGGAAAAGGGCTTCTTACTGCAGACAGGTGAAAAAGTACTGACACTAACAGAGGTACGGCACTAGCGGAGCAGAAGCCTCACCATTGCCTGTAAGTGACACTTGGGAATGAGGATGTGTTGGATGACCACAGCAAACCCTCGCCCAGTCCCTGCGACATGCATGGACACCCGCAGGGAGGAAAACCAAAGCCTGAGTGCTGCTTGACTACCCAGGAAAGTCAAGTAGCAGTTATTTACTCTCTCCACTGGCTGTTCTGCAGCTGTGAAAAATGGGCCTCCTTCCTCTATGTGATATAAAAACTGTCTCATGAGCAGACAAACATTTTCCCAGCAGATGGAACTGGTGCTCCCAAACTTACAGCCAAAACAGATTGCTCTGTGCTGAGCCCACCTATCATACACAGGTGGTTAATTCCCACATCCTCCAGTGCAGCATTTCTTTAAAGAGCCAGGGGTTTTGGTGGCAAGCCCCACCGATGATAACAGTCCCTGCAGTACAACATGATGCCTCCCCTGCAGATCTTACACCTTCCCTCCTAGCTCCTCAAAGGAAACTTCACACAGTTATTTCCTTTGAATTTTCCATGCTGTTGTTTTATGTATTTTTGGGAAGGCAGACACACGAGAATGAGCATCCATGGCATGGGGTGTTGGGGCATTGTATTGATACTCGGGCCTTTCATACATGTGCCTTACAAACCATGTGATTGTTGAAGCTATCACAGATTTGCTTTAAACATCCCTAAGCACTGCTCCAATCCATTTTTCCTTTTCCTTTTTTTTTTTTTTCCTGGTAATAATGTTTCCAGCTACCTACTACCTTTTAGAAGGCACTATTTTATGTAATTAAAAGAAGGGAGCTCTAAAGAGGGTTCATCAGTAAATGAACGCTGTGGAACCACGTGGTTGTCTAAAAGCAATGTTAATATTAGATACTAAAAGCTAGTATACAAAAATGCAAGTACACTCATGATGCAGTTTGCTGGCACAGAAGCTGAAGTTTGGCAGCAAGAGATGAACCTGCCTAGGAGAGGCAAGAAGTGGAATCTCACCCAAGCTCCTACTTTCAGCTCTGCAGAACCACGCCCTGAGCAAAACATCCAGGTCTTCTATATAAAACAAAAGGCAAAATGTTATGCAATACTGAAAAAAAAATATTCAAAGTAGACTGCCTGGAAAGAGTTTAGGTGAAATGGACATATTTTGCAGGTTTATGCCCCATCCTATACATCCTCCTTGCTCAAAGTAATTTATTATTTCTCTTACCCTTTATACGAAACCAAAAAAATTCTTATGAGGCAGAAGAGATTCAGAAACAGCAGTGATGACAGTAATAGTTCAGCAAGTTGTCCACCGCTAAATATATAGCCTATTCAGTTTTACACTGAGTATGTCTTTCAGCTAGAAATAATTTTTATCATCTCATTAAAAGCAGTACAGGCAATAATATTCTGTTTTTCAAGATACTTTAAATCTTCATAAGTATCTCGACTACAACTGTTTTTTTCCTCAATATAATAAGGACAGTAAAAATAAAATATGTTTTGTGTGCCTTCAACTGCAGTTGGAAACTAACAGGTTTATACACTTTAAAAGTTATTTGATTTACTCTTGGACAATGTGAGAATCCAGCCTCAGATTCTCACCATACATTATTTTTGACACTATGAAGCCTCATGTTTGTGAAGCAGGAATAAGTTATCCCAGAAGCATTGCTCAGGATTCACTGTTACAGAATGATTCTGCCTGTGAAGACTCACATGCCTCAATACATCACCTGAAGGTTTGGATGAATACATAAACAAAACCAGATACTCAGCAGCCAAAGAGAGGGCTAGCCACAAATTTCAGCTCCTACTAGCAGATTGTTATTCAAGGTGTAAAACAGATGAACTACTTGATATTCAAAAAGCTAAAAATGTAAAGGCAGGAAAAATATCACTTCATTTCACAGTGTTCCACATCTTCGAAATGTCTTTCACCTACCTATGCACTAAGAACTTCAACTAACATATCCTGTCACACAAGATAAGGCTGATGCTGCTGAACCGTGGTCTTTTGAGATCACTGGATCACAAGGCAAAGGTCAGTAGATCACTAAGTCACAAGGCAAAGCATTTTGGCCATACCATATTTCCTCAGCACGGTCGGTATTTGTGCATCATCACCTCCGAATTTGCGGGAGAACCACGGTGAAATGACAAGCCAGCAGGAGCCCTGGCTGTGCCTTGGGAGGGAAAGCAGGGAAGGGCTGCGGGTGCCACCAGCTGGGCGGTGTGGGAGCCTGGGCTGTCCCCTGGCCCGCAGGGACACCTGGTGACAGACCTGGAGGGGGGATGGACCCGGATGAGGGGCTCCTCTCCAAGGCAGAAGTGAACATTTCCAGAGAATGGTCTGTGAAGTGTTGTAAGACTGTTTCAGAAGGATGGTACTTGTTTCATATTCATTGTAGCTGGGTTTTGGTTGTTTTGGTTTTTTTGTTTGTGGGTTTTTTGTTTGTTTTGCTTTTTCAATCTAAGTTGTATGGTGCACAACAGATGTAACAAGGGCAGTGTCTGAATTCTATCCCATCCCAGCAAGCCACAAGTGGTTGCAGAAGTATGAGATTCTAAAAAGGTAAAAGAGATGCGAGGAGAAAAGTACTCACCGTGTTAAGCCTACATAAAAAAAAATAATTCAATAAAACGAGAAATTAGTTTTTTTTCAATTAAAGTACTGTATTTTTCAGACTGAAAGCCTGACACCCAAGAGCACATGCAGAGGCCACTTACTATAGCCCCTGCAGCAGCTGACTGCTGCCACTGCCCAAGGAAATGTATCCAGTCAAAGACCTTGTGGGCAGGTGTCTAAAACCACCACCCCAAACCCCACAACTCCAAAAAAAGGCAAATTGGGCAAACTATTCAGCTGGTGATCACAGTGTGCCCCTCCTTCCTCAGCATGCCAAAGTATCCTCCCAACAGCCCTGATAAACCAATTTTCACTCAGTACTGACCAGTTCTTCAAAGGTTCAGTACATTTCAGGTTCGGTTTTTTTCCCCAACCCAATGACTTACACAGGAGCTGTGAATAGAAGAGAATTTCATCAGCATCCAGGCAGAAATGAGAGCTCTGGGGAAAGAGGACTAGAGAGACGCCTTCTTTGGGAGGCTTCTACAATGCTGAATTTCCCTGCTTCACTTTCAGCTCTGTGCAATTAGTAACATTTATTTTCCAAGAGCCTGAAGTTCTCCTCAAGAAATAAATAAATGGACATATTCTTTGAATGTGTCTGGCTTGGAGCACATTAGTCGATGTCATAGCACAAATATTTATTGCAGCCAGCTTGAGAACATGGCTCCTATCATCTTCCAGCATTAAGCAAAAAAGGGAGCATTCATGAAGTACATTTGGCCATCTTCAGACATTCTCGGTCCTGTCCTGCCAGCTAGCATAGTGGGAAAACAAATGACAGTTATGTCCAGAAGAAAACAAGATGCAGGAGCTGCACAACCAACACTATTTATGTACCAGGGACACAAGACGACAAGCCGAGCCCTGCACTCAATACACAGTGCAAGAGCTCCCTCTCCCCACTTCCTTCAACATCTACATGGATCTCTGAGCACATCTGCCACCCAAGTGAGACAGAAGTTCCCACGTTGCTCTCCAGCCTGCTTCACTAGTTCTGGATGAGAGGGCTGTTGCTGTCACACAAAAATACACTTGGCCAAGAGCTGGCCAAGCTTTGGCTCAGCTGTCAGTATAAAGGTGCTGTCCTGAATCAAACACACCAGGTCTTGGTGAGCTCCCACAGGACACCATCAGGCTTCTCTGAGCTGCACCCAGGCTGAGCTTGGATAGATTGTCTGCTGCAGCACCAGGCATCCTTTAAAACTTACTAGGAAACAGAATAAAGGCAAAATAAAAGCTTTGTGTAGACAGCAGAAGTCGAATCCATCTTGTGCCCAGTCCACTTTTCCAGTTCAATATACAAGCCAATTATGTGAGTTGTTTCCAGCCCTAATGGCTACTAACTCAGCCCCTGAAAAGCCTCTGCTTTAGAGGTTTTTGTCATAGGTTCAGAACTACCACTCTACATGTTTGCACCTCTTTTTCAAAGAGGTGTTAAGTCTCAATAATATATCACAATTAGATAATTTCAGTTAATTAAATCATAACTTCAACTTTTCTATCAGAGCTGAGAGTTGCAAGTTGAAAAAGTTAATTTATTTTTCCTCCTCTTCAGCTTTTCTTGGATAACAGCAATTCAGGGAATTACTTGGTTGTGCTGCCCTTGTGTAAGCAGCCAATAATTACTTCTTTTACACAGGTTTATTTCACAGCTTTCACGAACAAAATAACTTCAACGTAGATTTCAAAAATTGAAACATTAAAAATGTAAAGTATAGGCCAATAAGCAAGAAACAAAACGCTGCCGATAAATTTATTAAACTTATTTTTATTCCCTTATAGCTCCCAGAAATTTTCAGTAACAAATGAATTGATTTAGAAGGCAATGAAAACATGACAAATATAACAGAGTACATGATAAGCCTCCTTAGTGTGTTTAAAAGGCTTTAGAACATTGTGAATACAGTTTCATTGTGTATATCACCTCTCACAATAATAGTTAACAAATTAATTTCAACTCGAATAGAAGAATTTTGCATGCCACTTTGTCCAGAATATTCAAATGAGAAGTTTTTATAAACTTACCCCATTTACATACAAAGGCCTTCTAAGTGACTCGTGTATGACCAGCATTTCACTTAAATCAGCTTTCACTCTCTTGTTCCAAAAGTCATCTGTAGGACATACTTCTACTTGAACCTAAAAGCTGAATGCTTCTTTATTTAATTACGTTTTAAAGATCTGACAGCACTTCCAGCATCTGATACATTCTGTATTCTTTCAGTTTTAAAGCATAATGAATAACTAAGCAGGAACAGAAGAACCTCTCATATCTCCACTCTTGGGAGGAGTAAGCTGCACCAGAAGTTTATTCCCATCTACTGCACTCCCTGGACAAATTAAAATCCTCATGTTCTCCAGAGCAGCTTCCAGAGAGGATTAACACTACAGGAACAATAACATGAACAGACATGGAAGTTAAGAGACATGCGTCTATCTCCTACCAGCTGTCATAATTTAAGTGGGAATTCTGTGTAGTCTTTGACTTTGTGACTGACTATCAAACAATTTTTATACTCCCTTATTGTATTTACCACATCCCTCTCCACAGGTTGAAAGGGGAAGAGCAGCTCATTTTCAGTGTAACAGATAACTGGTTTCTAAGTAATATCTCACTTATGTAGGAAAAAAAAACCCAAAGCATTAGAAAACCTTAAGTAATATCTCTCTTATAGCATAAACCACGGCAGGCATTGAATTCCAACTGCAAAAGAGTTTTATTACTTCCCACAACCCAATTTTGTATAAATGGCTTCTAAGCACTACTACAAACATCTGCCAAGACACTGCCACCTTACTTTCCCAGAAATTTCAATTGTTATTATTTTGGGGAGCAAAAGGTTAGCTCATGTATTACCACAGAGCCTCACTAAAAGAAATAAAAGGAATAAATCTATAGTTTTGGCAATTTTATTCAGAGTAAGTCCTTCTAAGAAAGGACTGCAGAAGCTTCCTTTTTTTAATGGAAAACAAAGCCATGCTTGCCAAACTTTTACTATTTAAGATAGTACCTATTTGATACTTCATTTCAGATGTCAACTTCCAAAACACAGATTTCAAGGTGTTGATTTAATCACATGGATTTTGTCGTTGTCTTGTTTCAAAATAGTATGGGAAACCTCCATAAGCAGCACGGGTTTGTCTACCAAAAATTACTTGTTCAGAGCATCGTCTCTTGGCACATTCTTACTGGAATATTATAATGTCTGTCATCTTCAGTTATGAGAGTCACCACAGGCCAGTCCTCCTCTGGGTCATTGGGGTAAAGTGTGATGAACTCATCAGTGCTGTACTTATAGAGTCGGTACACTTGGATGGTATACTGCAGAGCATAAGCAAGAAGAAACATTTCCACCTGCATTGGAAAAAACAAATATGTGTGTAAAATTCAACATACCTTCCACAAGATTTTCCTCATAAAAATATTACACTAATACCCATCAGATGTAATTTTTCAAAGACAAAAATTATGAAGTGAGAAGTCCTATACATGAGCACCTCTCATTCAGTATCTCCATCATACTCCTCTATGATACCATGCATTTAACAACAAAGTCTTCAATCCACAACGGCATAGTAGAATAACCCTAAAGAAAAACTACTTTACAGAGAATATCCTACTGCCACAAGCAGATAGGAAAGACATTCTCTTGCATCAGTGTTCAACCTGCTAAGTCACTTAAAATCATACAAGAGCAGGTTTCAGGCAATGATCCTTTCACTCTTACAGAGTACTCTGAACTTTCCAGCCAAACAAAAAGTAAACGGAAAGCCCTTACAAAGCCTGTTGACAGAAGGAATTCAGAAAAAGAAGCTGTAAAAAGCTTCTACTTTGTCTACTACAGTGACAAGCATATCCTGTTCTAAATAACAATTTACAAAGAATCTTACTGAAATAGACAAACACAGTCAGCACAAAAAACTGGCAACTCAAACTTCTTGACTAAACTGAGCAGCAAAAAATCACCAATTTTCACAGAAACAGCAAACTGTCCCATCTATACTGCAGTTGTCAGATTTTTAAGGTAAGAAACAAAAACAAAACATAATACTTCCATGTTTCTAGTAGCTACAATTAAGTTGTGAACTTAATTGCAGAGTCCCGCTTGTCATGAATTCAATGGGATTTTTTAAAATGATGTTTCCAAAATCTTTCAGTCTATTCAGCTCATTAACTACTCCTCATTCTGGTTTGGGGCTTTTTTGTAATATGTGTGCCATTAATGCCATGTGTAAAACAGTAACTTTCGTAAGCTTATCAGAATTTATCTGTGTATGTGCTATGCATGGTTTTTATAATTTGAGTATTAGCTTTTATCATGTTATTTTTCAAAAAGCTAACAACAGAGACCAATACAAGTGTTCTAATAGCAACCCCTATTTCTAAAGAATGCTATCCACCAGCCACTAGGCAAAACCTGGTTTGTTTCAGGAGGGGCTTTACAGACTCTCACTGCAAGCAAGCAGTTCTAATATATTCTTCCCAAAGAAAGACCAGATGCTTCAGTCAGCCCAACAAAAGCTGGGAAATTTCTTAAACCACCTGAAACTAAAAACTCCAAAACAGGAAAATAACACTTTAAGAACAATCTCTCCTTACTTGCTCAAGGCCTCCACTGTGACCAATATGATTCAAGTGATTATGCATTAACTGACAAGGGTTGCTGGATGTATCCCGTGCAAACAAAAGCCAGGAGAAGACAGGCACTCTTCTTCCACTTTTATCGGCATTGTATAATTCAATGGCAGTGTTAAGCATCAAAAACTTCAGCGCTTCATAGAGACTATACTCCTCCTCTTCATTTTTAAACAATTTATCACAAGCTTCTTGTTTCTCAAGGGGACTCTTTATTTCACTTATATTCTTCCACTAGAAAAAAAACCAACAAACCAACAAACAAACCGTCACACACAACAGAAATCAACAGTCATCACCCTGCAAGAGCTGCAAAAAGCCACTTGTGAGTTGTCAGATACTCAGCACAGGTACCCACAATTCAAAGTATGAAGGGCTTTGTGTCTTTTTAAAAACAATCCAGAATACTTCCACAACTGTACCCCAATCATGGTCAGGCTGACTTAGTCTGATTTTGCTTAAATTAATCCATAAGCAAAGCAAAAGGAAGGGATGCTAGAAATTGCTGCAAAGTGGCAGAACAAATATTGCTGTGGGACAATATGCATTAAGGTAAAAATCTTTTTGTTTCCTGCACCATAAAGCCTACATACTTCATATTCTTTACATTTCTGTTATTCAAAATGTGTATTTCATTTCACCCCTCAAACCGGTGAATGCAATATTCCAAATACTCTTAAAAGCCTTCACAAAAAGAGAATTTGCATTCACAGTATGAGAGGAACAACTGAAGAGTTTTTTAAAAGGTTCCAGAGCTCAAAGAGGGAGAAAGCATGGGGCTAGGTAATATAGTATGAACACTTAAGAGCACAGTCATGGTCCTATGACCTAGAATAAATGTATAAAAATGGAACAAAAACTACTCCTTTGAAATTACTTCAGTATTGTTGTGTTTTTCTTTCCTTAACCTTGTCCAGATAGCAAAAGGATTTGTCCAGTGTACTTCATTCCTTCAAATAAACACAAGAAATAATAGAGACAGAAAGCTACTCTGTTACACTAATGTCTTCATTGAAATCTGTCTAATTAATAGTTTTCTGCAGAGCTGCTTGCAAATTAATTCCAGCATCAGGCTATTGCAAGTAGTGAATGACCAGATGCCACTATCTGAATAGACATTCTTTACTTATTTTGATTTTTTTGCAGTATACATACAGAAAAGGGACTTTCACTACCGAAAGCATCCTTATGCTAAATTCTCCACGTTCAAAAATCTTTGTCACTTTTCTTATTTGCAAGTGACCAAAGAATATACAAATACTTTTCCTACCTTTTTCCTTAGAAGTATTAAATACTCTTTTATTTCATCACTTATTTCTCCCATCCTCTTGCCAGGTTTCTGTCTGAGCTGCCACTGCTTGATCCAGTCATACTTGCTCAGCAAGTTTTCAGGAAGCTGGAAGGTGAGAAAAGAAAAGGCAGCTTAAGGTAAAAGTCTAGAAAGGAAAAGTCACCAACTTGCGTATTTTATTTTTTTAACATTTTGCACCTTAAAACAATACCTCACATACCCTTCTCAACAGATATCATACTAAGAGAACCATAACCAAAAACAACTGGATATTTATAATATTTGCTGGGTAAGCATCAGAATACTGGTCTATTACTATTTCCAGATCTAACAAACACATAAGCACTGGAAAAATTAATCACCAAGTTACTCATGCCTTCTTTTTTGTTATTTTGAGGTTTTTGTTTTTTTTTTAATTAAAACACTCTCCCAACAGCAGATAGATGGCAGTGACTGTGTTTTAAACTGTTCCTGAACCAGCAGAAGAGAAAATGACATCCATCAGATCACCCCGAAGTCCTGGTGGACTGCAAACTACTTTGTCCAGAACACACAAACTGTTTCCTTTTCAAGGAGCACAATTCAAGCACTCTGGGCAAGGCTTTTTATTAAAGAAGAAAACAACTTGGGAATTCGCTGCTGCATCAGATCATGCCTTAGCCTCAGAACTGTCTCCTTTACTGCTCATGTGCTACATTTGCTCAGTTCAGAGCTTTCACACTTGCCTTGAAGGACATCCTGACAGTTGCATGTCCAGTTTTGTACCCCCATCTATTAACCCATCTTACTGCTAGAACTGGAAGAGCAACTTGTGTCTCACAATGGAGTAAACACTTGGCTAGAGCAGCACTTATGCCATCAGCCACCACCAGCCCATTTGCAGCTTATTAAGACTCCAAACTGGTAATATGTTCTCTTTAGTGGCAACCAAGTATGTGTGAGAGAGGCACAGATCTTCTCCCACCCCAGCATGGCATCCTGTGCACACAGAACTAAATAATACAAAATTACATGCCAGTAACTTCTACAACTACAAATGTGCATGTAATCATCATTTTAAATTAAAAACAAGAAAAACACCAAAAAAACCTGTTATATATGTATTGCCAGCTGTCACCATGTGCATTTTTCTTATGTGCCTTCTGCTTTGATGCATAACAATTTATCATTTCAGTTTGTTTTGTAGGTGTACACCCTTTTCAAAAAAAAGTTAATTATCATATGACATTTTCCTCTATGAATCAGTAGCAAAAAATAGAAAAAAAGAACATCATCAAAAACATCAAAGTACAAAATTTTTAAAAAGTTTGCATGCTCTTCAAAGAAACACTGGGAAACTAGGTTCTTTAGTCTGATAATGTGGAAATGGTTGAGAGCTGAAAGAATGTGATTTTTACAAAAAGGAAACCATTTTGCAATGTGCTTGCTGTAAATCACCTCACTGACCAATATTCATCAGTAATTACAAAAATAAAATCACAAGATGTTTACTTTAAAATGATAGTGGTCAGAATGAAAAATTTTCAGATGTCCTCTAAAGTGATGCAAAAGGTAGTAAGGACAGTGTGATTGTACTTGGACTGCTATCCTACACACAGTCTGCCTCAGACATTCACCATTTACATTCCCAGCAGCATCCTGACAACTGGAACCTTGGTCTTCTCAAGCAGTTCACTTTTGTATAGGCAGCTTTTTACAGGTTTTTTTCCATGTTCACCAATACCATCAAATCGACTTTGTTGACACAAGAAAATTTCTGGAATATTCTTTTTCTGCTTGTAGGGGAATACCTTGCTTTTATCATACATCAGTGCTCCACAACAACTGTTCTTTGTGTCAGGTTGGAGTTGCTCTTACACTTATTTTAAGCAACATTTAAGACACAGATAATTACACACATCCTGCAAAGCCTACAGCATCCAATTTGTTATTCCACTTTCTAGAGAAACCATATATGGCACACAAGAATAGATATTTGAATTTTGAGAAGCTGAGTGTTTCTCAAATGTTAGAATAAATTGTCTGTATTTTTTGTTATTGCCAGCTGTCTTGTGGAAAATCTCTTATTGCCACATTATATGCAGTGAGAAGAAACCAAGAGAGCAACATTAAAACTGACAAGTGACATTCCAGTAAGCACAACAGTAACATTTATATTCATTATAAACTGGAAACCAAGGGCACCTGGACTCAATTCCAGGTTGAAAGAATCACTGTGCACAAACAACAATCTTGAACACTACAACTTCACAGCTCAGGGGATATTGACAAGTGAGCATATACATTACACAACACAGAAATGAGAACATAAGATTATCAAATAGGTTAGACCCAGTATTGCTCTACTGTTCTGTTACTGATCTTCTACTGAACATCAGTTTGACACATACCGTAGTAAAGTCTTCACTCTGCAGCCACCTGGGTAACTGGGTAGCTTGGCTTAATGCCTGGAAAAGAGTTGCTCTGAAAGCACAATAGTTATCACCTCGTATTCTCCTTATAGATGCAAACTTCTGAGAAACTGCTTCATATCCCTAGAAAAACACAAAATCCAAAGAATATGAAATCATTAATAAAGCATTTTAAGGTCATACACTGGTAACATAAGAGATATTGGAATATTATCATCCAAATGCTAATGCTATTTAAAAAAAAAGCCTGACCCACTACCTCTTTCGGATGTTCAATTGCTTTTATGTTCTGAAAAAAAAATTAGTTCTGCTGAAAAACAAACAAGAAACTGAAGAAATCTAACAGATAACTGTTAAAGGTATTTGTTTCATGACAGAACATAAACATCATTGAAATATGGGTAGCTGACTTGCCTAGATTTCCAAGAAATGTCTAATATACACACATAAGACTACAAATCATGCTTAAAAGAAATTTCAGCACTAGTTGATGCTACTTACCCAATACATGTCACATGTAGTTTGTTTCTGCCTCGGGGCAAGTTTGTGTTTATACTGAAATATCTTGACACTTGCCTCAGCACATTTGTTCCCTCCCTGCTGTTCCCATACTCATAGCTGTAGCAGAAGCCGCAATGTTGAAATGCAGCTTCTGCAGCTCAGCTACCCTGTCTCCTTATTTCTCACAGTAATCTCTTGAGGGAGGCATGGGGAGTTTTTGACTTTTGTAAGGTATGTTTATGTTTACCCATACATATCATTAAACTTTTCAAGCAACAAAACACCTTTTCTTTATTTTCTACCACTTTAGATCAAGATTAATGTAAAAAAAATAGTACAAAAACTGGTAAAAAATCTCAGGAAAAATTTTTAAAAACCCATGCAATTCACCACTTTCAGTTACCTGCCTACACACAAAAACTCAGTAATCTGCTCTGCACTTCAACAGTCCACAAAATTAGCATTTTATGTCCATAAACAAAATATAAAACTTCAATTGAAAATAATAACAGAGGACAGTATTAATCAAAATTATCTAATTATCTAAATTATCAGCAAGTAGCTTTACTAAAAACATTAATTGAAATGAGCACAAAGAAAAGCCTCTGCCAATTGTAAACTGCTCACAAGACCTCAACAGTGTAATACACTGCTCCTGCATTTCCTGTCTTAAAAGACTGACTGCATAGGAGATCATATAGTAAACAAAATCAAAGAGCCTAATGAAATTTAACCAAAACAGAACTGCTACCTTTCTCATCCTTTTTGCTGCTGGCGTATTTCCTCTCCATTCCTTTCTGCAATATTCCATGATGTCCATTTCAGGTGAAACACTCAATTTATATTCTGTCAAAACAGAACATGCAACATTATAAAGAAACAGAAGAAGGTAGAAAGCAAATCAAATTTCTAAGTACACTATCATGTTAAAATAACTTTAGTGCCAAATGAAACTGGCAGCACAACCTGCTTATTATTGCTGTGGGAGGGGATAAAATCAGTTTGTTCTGAAAACTACGTGTGAAGAAAAGTTATGACGTAGTTCAACAAGACAGGGAAGGCTCTGCTCCTCTCTTCTGCAAAAATTAATTGGCAAAGAAGACAAATTAGTAAAGTAGTCTTAATTTTCTTAGCAAGCAGAAAAATATTTGACAGAAGTTTCTCTTCTTCATACAGCAACCAGACTATAAGGGAGAAAGAGGACAGATCATTCTGAGTAAGTGAGTAACAGTAACAGAAAGAGATACAGTTTTGCCTTGGCATCCCAACAGCCTTCATCCCAAAGCCAGGTAGTGCCGAGGTTATCAAGGCATGCCAGCAACAGATGCTGCTATGACGATTATGACTGAGTAATTTCCAAGCATGATATCTGTAACATAGACTACGTGACTGCTTTCCAAAGAATTCACATTCACTCATAAAGTAACTACAGAAACACGGGGAATGATATATTAAGAGCAAGTAATTTTACAGAGAATCGATCTTTTTATGAATCAAACTGTACAATGTACCCAGTCATAAGTAACTGCTATTGAACGCACACATCTCTGCTCAGAAGTCCCTGGAAGAGTGGGTGTCAGGACATCACACATCAGTGCTACAGTGAGTTGCAATACTATATTTGAAACTTCACATAAAGTTTGATTGTACCTGATGAGTTTGTTTCACAAAGTAGTATTTTCTCTCTCTCTATTTCTTCTTCATCACGATACATGTCCTCCTCGCTGCAATAAAAATCAACACATACCTCATGTAACAGCACAAATCCTACTCTCTTTTTGAACCTCTTCCCCTTTTTACAACTCAGGAAGGTATTTAAGTCTTTCTACCTTTTTTTTTAACTCAATTTGCTTTCCACCTTACCCATTTTCATAGAACCAACATTAGCTCTCAAAAATAGAGAAAAGTTTAGAAAACCCTCTCAACTGCTCCCCTTCAGTATCTGTCACTAGCTTGGGAATAAACCATTGCCTGAATTTCTCTTCTGTGGTTGAATGGATGCTACAGTCTCTTCATATTTCTACATTTTACAATATAAATTTGCAAAAGAAACAAGCCAACATGTCTATATGCTGCATATATGAATAATGCACCCTAAGCATGCAGCTAAGAACACATTAGTCAACAGGGCTTTGTATCTACACACCACTGGGACTGACTCAACCTGCCTCGTGCTGAGCAGAATACACTGAAAAGTGGCCAACTACCTGCATTTAGTTTGAATGCTACTAACTCAATTTCCACCATGACCCAAACCGCAGCTTACAGGCTACCTGAAATCCAGAGAAATATTTCTTCCTCAAGTAATATGGGCTTTTTGGCCAAGGTACATTGTCAAGTACCTGCATCTAAGCATATATACAACATTCTGAAGTCAAGTTATGACCATGAGAGAGGAAATTATGCCCTACAAGAATACTGCACAGACCAGTGTCTGCAGCTTGGATGGGAACATTAATGCTGAAAATGGAGGTCCATACAATGTTCAAAAACTGACTGCAAATTACATATTCCATTACTGAGAGGCATTTGTCATATAATTACATCTAGCAAATAAATTTCTAAAAAATAATCACAGCTTCACAATTAAAATACTTAAAAAAGCATATATCACCAGCCATATTAGTATCATTTAGGTGTAGCACTAAAAGAAGTTTACATGGAAAGACTGTTTTTTGAATAAAATACATAAGTAGAAAAAGGCTGCAAGGTCATTTCTTACTGCCCACTACTATTAGTAGCTTCTAATCTACTCCATACTAACACCCCAAATGCAAACCACAGTCTACCTCCAAAAGACTAGGAAGAAATCAAGGCACATCTTACACCACTAAGGGAGGACAAGCAATTAGGAAGACGGTGAGAAAGAGTTCAATGTAGCCAGATGGTAATTGGATTACTTTCATTAAACTCGAAAGGACAGACTATTAAATGATGGCTCTGTATGTCTTTTTCTTTATATCCAAACCAGCTTACTCAAACCATCTGCATATATGTCCCTTGAGAACAAAAAATATTTAGTATAAAGAGCAATGTAGGTTAATACTAGGAAACTGATCTGCTGGGCTGTCTTTAGTAAAGTGCTGAAGTTGCTGCACGAAATTTCATTTTTAACATTAAATAAAGAGAAACAATAGATATAGTAGGTATCAAACACACTACTATCTGGTGAGAAGAAGTATCATAGAAATACTTGTTTCAAGGCCATATTCGCGTTACACTGTGATGCTGGACAAGGCCTAATTTCTCAGCAGAGTTTAAAGTCCATTAAGGTTCGTGAAGACTTTAAAGAATACTTAATAAACTTGAAAACACTATGGAAAAAACCATACAGCTTGGTATCAGACAGCAGCAATCTCTAGCTTATCTTCTGTGTAAGCCAAGTATCCAAAATACAAAGCAACAACCTCCGCCTCCGAGCATGAAGAAACCTGTTGCTACAAGGGATGCCACAGGGAGAGAAATTGTGTCAGGGCAGGGAAATTGTTCCTTTGCAATACAGCCTTGAATAAATTCAGCATAAGATGTAGAAAGAGAAGAAGTGCTCAACTGACTAACCCAGTGAGATTACTCAAGAAAGAGGAAGTTTGGTATAAAGGAAGCAGTGTCATGCCCCTTCTGCAGATATTATTAAACCACCTTCTCTCTGGGAGTTGACAAAACAGAAGCAGCCACAGACTGAGAACACGTCAGATTAACATCCACAGTAAACAAGGTACTGCAATTGAAGAGAGTTGTTTGGAAATCCAGGTAGGCAAGAGCTGCAATCCATCTGCACAGGCACTCTCATTCCAGAGATGAGAGTGCACCATAACACTGTTGTAGCACAGCAATTGTTAAGTAAATCTGTGGAAACAAGAATGTGGAAACTAAAGCCTTTCCCCATTAATGTTCAGATAAATATTTGACAAATATAGTGGAAATAAAGCAAGAATGGAAAAGAACTATTAATGAAAACATGCATGCACAAAAAAAAAGTGCAAGTTGCATGTAAATACTTAAACTGTTGAACTGATGGGATTTAATTAATAAGATTTTTCCTGAACCAAAGACACCAAGGAAAAAAATCTTAAATTTACCTTCATGAACTGAATGTACCCTCCCTTTCTATCAGAAAACCGTTAATATATTTAAAAAAATAAATCCTTACCTCTCCTCAGATGACTCCACTGCTGAACGATTACTAGACACAGGTAAGTATAGTTCACAGTTTCTAGATGCATCCTGATCCATCACAGGAGACTTAATCATATTGGTCTTCTCAGGTCTCCCACTACTTCTGTATAGACAGTCTTGTCTTATTTCTGATGTAGGTTGCTCTTTCAGGTCTGCAGCTGCATTTGGTAAGCCAAGTTCCTCAGAAGCAACACCAACTTCATTTTTATGCTTCATTAGCTGTGTGGGAACACTCTCTCTTTTCTCTTCTGCACCTGCAGAAAGGCTGGTTGGTTCTGTCATCCACCCTTGAAGATTATCCTGGCTTTGAAGAATGAAAAAATATATGAAGAGTTTCTCTCCCAGAACAAAAGCACGTTTCAGGAAAATTACAGTATTTTAAGAGCTACGTTATATTTTGAGAATTCAGAGGATATATAAATTAGTCAAAAACAGGAAGAAAATCCAGAACAGTTTGGTAAAATAAGACAGCATCCAAGCTACTTTTTAAGTCACTCGCCTGACCATCATTTCTTACCAAGGCTAACCTGTTCCAGTTCCTCAAACACAACCTGCCCTGACTAACCATCTGCTATCCTTGGGGTGCATTATCACCTCAAACCACAAGGATTAATGGAAATTCTAAAGAAATTAATTTCAGTCCTGCAAGAAAACAGTTTTTACAAACTCACCTGGTACTCTGTGAAACATCCACTGCACCAGGACCATTGCTTAGTGCAAGAATTTCCAATCTGATCAAGGTATCAAGACAGGATGTCTACAATCCATTCTAGCAAGCTCTCCAAAGGTTTAGGATGTGCCCATACAGCAAATTTTCAGGGGTATTTATCTTAAGTTGACACAAAATCCTGCCCAGAAGTTATGGGCTGCTTGGCAGTTGTCACATTAGACAACTAGTGGCTACCCAGACTGGTCACGTCAGAGCTCACAGACTTAATATCCACTCTATCAAACCTTAAAACTGCACAACACATCTCTATGTGAAAGCCTCCCACCCGCACCATATCTTTGTTTACTGACATTACAGCCCTCTGGCTCCTGAGCCCTGACATGTACCAAGCTGTCCCATAGCACAGAGCTCAGGACTAGAGTTCACAGAAGAGCAGAGTGGTCTGGGCTAGAAGGGACTTTAAAAGTCACCTAGTTCCAGTCCCCTGCTGTGGGCACGGACACCTTCCATTAGACCAGGCTGCTCAGAGCCCCATCCAGCCTGGCCTTGAAGTTCCCAGGATGGAGCATTCACAACTTATCCGGCAATCTTGTTCCAATGCCTCAGCACTCTCATAATAAAGAATTTCTTCCTAGTATCTAATCCAGACCTACTCTGTTTCAGCTGGAATCATTCCCCTTTGTCCTGTCACTACGTGCCCTTGTAAAAAGCTCCTCTCCATTTTTCTCGTAGGCTCTCTTCAGGTACTGGAAGGCCAAAGTCAGATCACTCCAAAGCCTTCTATTCTGCAATCTGAGCAGCCCCAACTATCTCAGCATTTCCTCACAGGAGGAAATCCCCCCTCATCAACTTCGCGGCCCAACTGGAGACTCGTTCCAACACTTCTCTTTCCTTCCTGTCCTGAGGTCCCTGACCTGGATGCAGCACTGCAGGTGGGGTCTCACCAGAGCAGAGCAGAGGGGCACAATCCCCTCCCTACACACCGCTGACCACGCTGCTTTTGACGCAGAGTCGCACTCCACGTCCCGGCTGCTCGGGAAGTTCGGCCCAGGTTTGGCGCAGCACACAGCCACCCGTGCCCGCCCGGCGCGGCACAGCCGAGGGAGGCCTCACCTTTCCGCCGCGCTCGGGCCCGCCCGGCACCGCTCCGCGCCGCCCCGCGAACCCGGCACGCCCCGCCGAGCCCCGGCGGCCGCCGCCGCGCCGGGCCCGAGGGGAGGCCGCGGAGATCGGCCCGGCCGTCGCCGCTCGCCGCTCATGCCGGCGGGGCCCCGGGCACGGCCGCCAATGCCAGCACCAGTCCCGGCCCCAGCGCTTCCCGAGCGCCCGCCCGGCTCCTGCGTGGCCCCGCAGCCGCTTCCGCCCGGGCCCGGCGGGGCCGCCCTTTCCGCCGGGCCCTCAGCCCGCGGCGGGCGGGACGCGAACCCACTCGCGGGGAATGAAAGCACCGAAGTGAAACTGCCCCCCTGCGAGGTGGGAGGCGACAACAACTTCTCGTAAACACAGGAGAGGGTGACTATAAAAGAGCTGCTTCCCGGCTGCCCGATGCTCCGTGTAAAAGGAAGTGCTCTCCGAATGCCGAGTCTGTGTGTGTGTGTTTGTGCTTGTGTTTGGAGCTCGTGTGGAGCTTGTCAGAGGCTGGAAGTCTCTTCTGGGCCCAAAGAAATACATGACCACATTCTGATACACCTTTATGAAACTCCAGACAGAAGAGACGCGCACACGAAGATGAGAAGCCTTTAAAAATTATATACTACTGAAACATACTCATTATTTAAAAAAAAAACAAAAAAAAACCAAAAACAAAAACAAGAAACAAAACAAAACAAAACAAAAAAAAAAACAAAAAAAAACAAACAAAAAAACCTCCAAAAATCCAAAACCAAACGAAACCACCCACCACCACAGCAACCAAAAATCCCCCCACAAAACAAACAAAACCCCCCAAAACAAACAACAACAACAATTCCCCCCAAAACTCAGACCAGTAAAATCTGTACCGTGATAGAAAAGTCTGCTGCAGTTCAGGCGTTTGGGGGCAACTTCACATTTTAATTGGGCCTGAAAATGAAGAATTATTTGTCTTCTTTCCAAAATTTCCCTCATAAGAATATGTTTTCTCTGAGTATGACAAGTGATGCTGAGACTGGAGGCAAATAACTACTACAAATTTACTTTTCAGCAAAGGAATTTGAACTAACATGTATTAGAGTATGAAACATTATTGGAAGAACATTTTAAAGGTGGAGGTCAGGTATTAAAACCTCTAAAAGGTTAAATTGGCAATGATAAGTAATTTGCAACATCATGAAAATTAATGTAAAACTGATTGACATTTTTGTAAACAAGCTTTTTCTGTTTCTTTTGTCCTTGAAACATGTGAAAGTATGAATGTTTGAAGAAAAGTGAAAAAAACCGCATTACCTTAGGTCTCTTAATCACTGCTTGTGAATCAAATTCATGTTGGATTGCTCTTAATAATGACATCTCCTTTGAAATAATCTCTTTGTTTGAACACCTGTTTGAATGACACGTTTGTCTCAATACATTCTTGTTTCCCACTGGCCATTCCACAATTACTCAATCAGAATTACTATCAAACATCTAGTCCACTTGAAATATACCTACCTGTTTCCCATGTTCCCATCATTTAAATAATTGAGATTTAGTAGCATTTAAGAGCCATTACAGTTGCCTTCTTCTTAAGATTAGGTACTTTGCTTTTTATTTACCCACCTTTGCGGTTCTCTCAGGAACTTTAAGGCAGAGATGTTTTGGCTGATCATTTTATTACCCTTCAGAGAACTACAGAGCAGAATAGGTGAAGCAGCAACTTAGATCTGTTTCATCGTGAGGAGCACAATAGAGAGTTGCAAAATGACCCTGCAAAATAGCTGAACTATGCCTGAGTTATGAAACGAAATTTCAGATTCTGTCCGTGTTCTATTTGGAACTGTTTCCTTGTAACAGAAAGTTCCTGAACAGCAAATTGTATTTCCTTTCTCAAGAAGTATTAGATGAAAACCATGCCATGATAACCTATTTCAGGCTGCACTACAGTAGTGCTAGTCTTGTGAACTTGAGAGAATGGGTGTAGTCTCTGTCATTTCATATTTAGCTGCTTACAGATGGGGCTTATTTTAATCACAAGATTATTTTTTTTTTCTCTGCATCACAAAAAGATGAAAATTAAACACCCAAAGAAGGTATTTTCCTGGTGAAACTTTGTGTTTGCATTAACAAAAATAAAGTATCCTAAAAGTCATCTGCTGAACACATAAATTTAACAGAAAAGTTCTGCTCTCTTCACCCAATGCTCTGCCCTCAAAAAAACTGGAAAAAAAATTAATAATCTTCAAATTGGATATATGCCATAGTTGAATTGAGAAAGGTTATTCAAGGGACTATTCATCAGTTTTGCCTTTATGTAAACTGCTTCTAAAAATAAGGTTTCTCTCTCCCTCTTGTAAACAATATACTGCAAGCATATTTGACATTTATTTTCTCAGCAAAGTATTTGTGTGTTTAGTGTTGACATGTAGTAGATATGCCAGATATATGATATCTGGAAATACTGGATAAGTTCCATGACACGTTTCACGAGATCAAGTGTGGCAAAAGAGTTGTGTATTAGTCACTGCCTTCAGGTTGCAGAAATTCCATGAATAGTTTTAGCTTGCAAACTAAAACCAGTGTCTTAGGGACTGAAGGCAGTAGCGGTTTAAGAACCTGCAACAACAATAAAAAAATTAACACTAAAGGAAAAGAAACAGGGATCATGAAAGTGCACTATTTATAATGCACAAATATGTCCACAATAATGCAGGTTAAACAAAGCATCTTTCTTTTTGTGCTACAAGTACAAGCAAGCAGAAAAGACAAAAGGATTTCAGCATAAAGTCTTGAAGTTTGCTTTCTAAAGACCGTGCAAGTGATGAACACTTCTTTTTTCTGAGATTATTTATTTTTGAGCAAACAGACCTCTCAAAACAAACAGAAACCTTTGTGATTTGTATACTCAGTTTCATATTGTAATAGATATGCTTCTTTAAAAAAGGAGAGGCTCATTTTCTCAAATTATGTAACATTTCTGAACAACAATTTACCTAAACTACTCAGTGCATTGGATAAAAGAACTATACAGTGCTTGCTTTTTTTACACACAGCTGCTTCTAGTGTTTTGCATGGATGGTGCAGAATGTTAGTCATATTTACTTCAATTTAGAGTTTGGCCCCTACATAATCGATCCTATCCATTGATAATGCTGTACTTTCCAATAGAACCAGTTGCCCTCTTCAAAGTCTTCAGGGCAGAGGTAGAATCTTGATTTTCAGTATTAGTAAATAATAAATGTGTGCAAAAAAATAAGAAAAATACTTAAGAAAAATATAAGAATAATAAATATAATAAATAATAAAATACAATAAATTACCGATCATAAGAAGATTGTCCACAGGATTCTGTTGAGTTTCTGGTTAGTTTGAGAGAACAATGTTGACTTATTCATTAACAAGTCACTGTATATTAAGATCAAGCAAGACAGATACCTCTATTCAGAAAAAAATGGAGCAGCTGTTTGCTCCTCTTGAAGATATTAAAATACTCATGCTACTCTTTATGATTTTTCTTGAGAATGAGGCTTAAGCAAAATTTAGGCATGTAAGCCCAAGATATTATTATTTCCAAAACACCTAAAACTTGTGTTTTCAAACTTGTATCTTCAAAGTAGACAGTGAACTAAGTATCACTAAAGTCTACAGTAAAAACCACAAGCCATGCCTGTTGTCCTGTATGTGATCTATTAGTAGCTCAGACTATTTCACTTAGAAGTCTTAATTCTTCTGTTGTCATGATTTCCAGTGGAGTGTCTGGATAGCTCCTCTGCCTGTGGGAGAGGTGAGGTTCAGCCTCCTAGCTGAAAATAAAATTGAGATTTCAGTTCTCAACCCCAAGGTACTAAGATCAACACCATGATCATGTAAATCTGAATGAAGATCAGCAAGCACTAGTTCTAGTCTAATGCAATTCTGTGTTATAAGAATAACTCAGAGTTTTGCAAGAACACATCTCTGCATTGCTGATCCCACCTGGAATAGGTTGAGCAGTTTACTTCCTACGGTAAGTTCCCTGTATCTTTTACTAAGTGTAAGGTACAACCACTAAGCTAACTAACAAAGTTCATGAAAATACACAACAATGATATTCAGTGCAATACAGGGGATCATGTTTTGTAAGTCTGAAATATTTCTGTACTTGGTACTTTCTGGTAAAGGACACTAGCAGCTCAGATCTTGATACAAAAGGAATCCATCAAACACCATGAGAAAATAACCTTTTTTTTTACCTTATTTAATGCATCTTAGTGCTTGCCAGCAGTTGTTACCTTTTTTTTGCTAAGCTAATAACACTGCACTACTTGAAAATTGCTCCTCATTTTTCAGGATTATAATTAGAAACCTTTGTGTGATCAATTCTTTTGACTATAGGGGAATACTGTTCAGAAGAAAAGTAGATGGGGAGAATCCACCAGTAAGAGCCAAATGGGCAATGCAATATCCATTACATACTTGTATAATTCTGTGTTATCCATGAGTATTTTCTTTCCTGTAGCATCCCTGAATTTGTTAGAGGTTTTGCACATGGATTCCTAAGAACATACATCTCCCAGGTACATAAAACTGGGTATATAGAAATGCTGCAATCCACTTTTATAGTTTCCAGTTTTATACGTCCCTAGAGTGAGCTCTAAATTGTCATGCTGCTGTCCATTAAGCAGAAAG